ATACCATTTGTTTGAGTCAGTTATTCGTAGATACTAAATAGAGTTCACTTATATTATTGTAGGGCAGACGAATTTGGTTATATACCATTTGTTTGTATCAACTAAATAGAGTTCACTTATCTTATATTATCGTATTGCCTAATCGGTCTTTCTGCATGTTTTAGACCCATGAAGGGGATGCTCCTAAAGTATTGTATCCCCCCCCCCCCCTCCTTGCACCTGAAACTCAGATCACAAACAAACAGACCAAACAAGGTACCTGTGTATGATTCGAAGGGAATGTATGGGAGTTATGATGAAGATATAACAATAGTATGTTTCACTCAACAATTTGCTTCAAAACTTGCTGCAATCGTCGCTTGTGCCTTGTTCAGTATCCTGGCGAACTGTTAGCGCAATTTTTTTTTTCAAAATTCGCTCTTCTCGTTTAATACTCCCCTATATTCGATATACGGGTACGTGCCGTCAAACACGGTAGACTATGGTTTTCAGCGAATCAGATTGCTTTCAACACAATCCAATACTTAATATACTGTGTTCTACTAGATTAGAATCGACTGCGCATTCAAAAATCTCTCCTCCTGGCGTGAAAAACGGAGAGAAAGATGCGAGGTAAAATGCGTTGTATCCAATAACGCTAGCTAGTGTCCTCTTCCCACCTACTCGCCCTGTCACTGCGCTTCACTATCTCCGCCCCTCCCCTCTCCACCCCCCCTCCAAAAGAAAAAGGAATTCCGGACTAAAGTTCGCGAATATCTGGCAAGAGCACTGATGATCTAAAACAAAAACAAAAAACAAAAAACAAGAGAGAGGGCGAAAGAAAGAGGATACAATCCTGCGGTTTTTATTTCACTGCCTTCCATATCTACCCTGGAAGAAAGACATCTCTGCCCACAATCGTCCTCGGTGAGAAACCAGAGTGAACAAGCGACAGAATGTACGGTTCCCGCTACAAAGTCACCCTCCCCTCCCTAAAGTGCCGCTACGCAAGCWAGCTCCGTGGAAGTTAAATCACTAGAGAAACTGGTTTCCAAACCGGTTATCAAGGATCACACGTCACATGAGCATGAATTGTTTGAATGTAATGACCATCAACCTTGCTCAGGGGCATACGGATTGGGTTTCGGATTGGATTGATAGATGTTTGTTTCAGTGTAACAAGTTAATCCCGGTCCTAGCCCACTCGTTTTAGAAACGGTTTCCGGTTCGCAGGTATTGTTGTAATTCTGTAGCTAGTCCAAAAAAGAACATTCTAGAAAAAAWTCTTTACTGAGTTACTTTGAGTTAAGACATGTTTTACTCTCTTAAAACAATCCTTCGATAAATTGTGGCCCGTTTTGCTCCACAACGCGGACATCTCTTATTACAGATTTGCGCATCAAAACCTGTTTAAACTACTATCAAACCTGAAATTTTGCATTCTCGAATAGCGGAAAATTACATAAGAACTACACGACTTATGCATAACTGACACAGCCACCTACCAGGAGAGATAACCTGTAGAGCTAGAATACTTCAGTTTCCAGTTTTCTATTGCTCAGCCGGGGTTAGCCTCGATTTTGCCCGGTATAGAATATTCACTGTACGTATAAGATTGACATTTGTTATTACATTAATGAGACTGTGTTCCAGTGATGGGCCATGGAATTTCGAAGTGTTTGTATTGTTGAAGTTGAGTAGCTTTACCGTCGGTATTCGTGAATATTCTGACGCTGAAATGAGGCTAAACCCGAGTCTGTAATCATAGAACCAAGCGGTTTCGTGCCCAAACATATGAGTAAGGCTACTTGACCTAATGACTTTTTTAAAACAAGTTTTACTAGGAAACAATTCTAACTGCGCAATTTCAAACTAATTATACAGTAGTATCTCCAAAAGCTCTGAGAATCACGGAAACAGGTCTCTGTATATTGCTAGCTATGGCAGAAGCCAACCATATCAACATTTCATTGAAGAGGGAAAGAAAGAAAAATGCCGACTCTTGGATTTTTTCTTGATTTCAGAAGGAAGCAGCAGCAACATTAGACCGGTGTACAGCAGCTTCCCACCCCAGCCCCACTAGGGAAAAGCGGCTGTACACAAGCTATAGGTTTTCAGGCCGTTGTGTGACTTATTAAGAGGGCAAGGCTCTTCAATTTTTCTTGTGCATTAAACAAGTTTATCGTCATGCAAAGTGCCCCTCATTGCCGTTTTATTTAGAGCACCTAGCCAACGCGCAAAATTTAAGACACTCGTGAACAGCGTTGTGTCTGTCTAACGGTTGTCCTACCGCCATTCGCAATGAATACATACGGTTAGACGTACTCAGGTCTGGAATGTAGATAGGCTAAACCGTACAATAAACCGTCCACAGGTTATGACCTTGGACTACCTTATATTTGGCAGACGCACAGTTTTCAGTCGTCAAAGTATTGAATTAGATAGAGCGCATGCAGTAACRAAACCATGAATAAAAACAAAGTTGATGTTGAGAAATAGAGTGCACGCACTAAAACCGTGAACATTAAATAGTACTAATTAGTACTATTTCATACAGAATCCTTTGTTTTCTATTGTTTAATTATCACTATTTAGTGCTGAAAATTAGTATTTGTTTCACGGGTTTAGTGCGAGCACTCTAGCACTATTTAGTGACTAATAGTTGCTATCACTCAACCAGAACACTCATCATACAAAGACAAATACACGAGACCATTTATGTATTTTGTCAAATAAATGTTTTGGCTATTTGTTAGTATCAACTTTGTTTTTACTTTGGTTTTTTACTGCATGTGCTCTACTTGAAGGAAACCTGTAAATCTAGTACAAAACTGGTATAAGCCGGGTGAAGGAGGGGGGAGGGGGGGCACTCCCCTATATTCTCTATGCAGGTACGCAGCCAAACAGGGTATGGTTTTTATCGTCTCTATTCTGGAACAGGGTATATAAAATCGCTCTCCCTCAATGGAAGAGGGTATAAATCACACTTTCTCTGGAACAGAGTATATAAAATCGCTATCGCTCTTTGGAATACGGTATAAATCACACTCTCTCTGGAACAGGGTATATAAAATCGCCCTCGCTCTCTGGGAATAGGGTATAACTAGCATAAATTACACTCTGTAACAGGGTATCTATTTTCCCAGTAACGGAAAAGATTTTTTTTCATATACAACAGGCTATGGTTTTCAGTGATTTTACTCTGGAAAAGGGTTTGAATTTCAGCGATTTTACTCTGGAAAATGGTATGGTTTTCAGTGATTTTTACTCTAGGCGCATAGGGCTCAGTGGCACATCCCTACCCTCAACGAGCGAGCGTAGCCTCCCTGGAGGGTAAGACTGGACGACAAGCATGTTAGTATAAATTTTGCGCTATGTGTTTACGCGGTACTCTTTTCACTCAAGGGGCTTACGAAGAAACAGATTTTAGCTGGTTGGTTTGAAAAATTCAAAAGAAAGCAAATTAAGGTATATTGAATTGTTCATGATTATTTTTTGTGCGTTTCATTTCCATAGAGGGATCGGAGGGGTAACGAACGAGGTTGGATTGTATGAATGAAAGCAAAGCTTATGAAAAACCGTGTAAAAGCACGAAGAAGGAGTTGAACTGGAAAGGCTCGATAATAGTAAGAATGTAAAAAAAATATTTGCAAGTCATTCATAACATTTCAAAATCCTTAAGTGTTCTCAATCATCAAAAATCAAAAATCCTGAARATGTTGTTGAAGTATCCTTGCTCGTTTTACTATTTCACGAATCGCTTGATGTTCTTCGTTCCTTAGACTGTTTACATAAGTCGTAGTTTTCGCTTCTTTGGGACCGACTTATGGAATCAGTCTATTCGAACCTGTTTTTTGGATCTTTTACCCAAAACAAAAGGGCTTGACCTCCTTTCTTCCAGGCATTTACGGCAATATATAAATGACCAAAATGAAAGTTTGAATCCATGGTGTAGATAGTCGTTAATAGTAAGAATGTCAAAGAAATATTTGCAAGTCATTCATGACATTTCAAAATCCTTAATCCTCAATCATCAAAAATCCTGAAGATGTTGTTGAAGTATCCTTGCTCGTTTTAGTACTATTTCACGAGTCGCTTGTTCTTCGTTCCTTAGACTGTTCACATACAAGTCGTAGTTTTCGCTCCTTTGGGACCGACTTATGGAATCAGTCTACTCGATCCTGTTTTCTGGATTTTTTACCCAAAACAAAAGGGTTTGAGCTCCTTCCTCAGGCATTTACGGCAACATATAAATGACCAAAATGAAAGTTTGATTCCGTGGTGTGGATAGTCTTGGAAAGCAGTAAAAAATGTGACCTTGCGTTACATTTGATTGACAGTTACTGTCATGGCAGCAACATCTATGATAGGTCATTCAAAATAATTTTTTCAATTTTTTCTCTGAAACTAATAAGAATCTTAAATTCTTCAATTTTTTGGAATTTAAAAAGAAATATTGCTGAAAGGAAAATGTATCCTTATTTAAAACAAAAATTGCAAATTATTTTATTTTTCTAATGAAAAAAGGTTAAATTTGCATAATTATTGCAAGTTACATACGAAGTTAATAACAGAAAACTGCAGCCACCCCAATGTGCCATATTTAGCTTTTAAATGTGTGGAAATGTGAAATTTTTTTTGTTTTGATATTTTGGATGCCATTACGCTGAGTTAAGCCCTGTTTACACTAGTAATTTTTGAAGCGATTTTTGCTGTAATTTTTGTGCGATTTTGTTCATAATAAATAATGGTTATGAAGATTTTCCTAGGCAAATGTCTCTTTTGAAGGATGAGACAAAATATTTCATATTTCCGAAAATTGCCACAAAAATTGCAGCAAAAATTGCAGCAAAAATCACCAGTGTAAACAGGGCTTTATGCTGGTTTCATGACCTACTCTGAAGGTTTTTAAAGTGGTCTTGCATGCTATTGTTCTGTTTTTTATCCATTACTGATGTTCAGTTTAGTTGGAAATAAACATATTTTGTATACCGAATAGAAAACATCACAAGATTCAAGAATTTTTAGCTAGAAAAGTGGGGTTTTCGATATCCACTGGTAATTATACTTGCATTTTTACCCATAGAACTAATGGCCATTCGTCTACTTCTCAAGAAGTCTTTCAAACCCGCAGAGCTGATATCTACACRTAGTGCATTGTACTTGTTCAGCCGTACTCTTGCATCCGAAGTACCAAGTTATAATTTTGAATGCTCATTCAAGCCGCTATCTCCAGAGGAAATTTCCCCCAAAAGTGACTATGAAATTGCTGGTCGCAAGTGGCTTCCAGGGTCTATGGGGAAAGGGTTTCCCAAATATTTGAACAAGCCAAAAGAGGGATTTCCATATGCCCTTGAAGTAACACCAGGCCAAAACTATAACCTTGGTGAATGGGCATATATTGTCCGTCGATTAATTGATGACAATCTAAGCAAATATGGGACTATGCTATTAAGGGGACTACCTTTGGAGGATAGCAAAGAAATTTCAAACTTTTCTACAGCATTAGGATACAAGGCTATGTCTTACCCAAGGGGAGGTGGAGCTGATAGAAGTCTTCAAGATGCTGATGCTCAAGTGTACACTGCTAGTGAAGAACCACCAGAATTCACTATTGAGCTTCATAATGAGCTGGGATATCTTCCAACCTATCCAAGAAAGGTAATAGACCTCCTCAGCTTGGGCGTAATGTTTTTTCCCATTTCAAAGCATGTGCCAACACCTTGAGTATCAGGCTTAAATTTTGTTTAACTTTTGTACTCGGTTGCACATGAGAAGATACAAGAAAATGGAATACAACTCAAAAAAAGAATCTCAAGGGAATGACACGTGGTCTAAAGTGGGACAACATTTCGTCTGAGCCTAGTAAGCCTATTTCAGTACTACAACTAGTAATCCTTAACATTTTCATCATCTGTTATCATTATCGTCACCATCATCACTATCATTTCTATCATCCATCTCCTCTGTTCTAATTCTCCTCACTTCCCAGAATCAGAAGAAATGCATCATTAGACATTTGAGGGTGCAGTACGGGTGGATATCTTTCCAAGTCTACAAAATACAAAGATTAGAAAAAATATTCAATGTATTGCGCTCTAAAATGTCTGATAAGTTATTTATTATCCAATGGTTTTTACTTTTTACCAAAAGAAGGCTAAACAGTGATATTCATTGTATTGCGACCTCCCGTTTCAAAACCCTGATTGTGTATATATTCTGGAGTCATTTAGATTTTCGAAAAATACCATCATTTGCATAAACCCAAAATGATTGACATAATTGGTGATAATGACGATGATGATGCTGATGATTATAATTGTAATGATAATAAATTTTTAGGGTCGATGTCAGTGTGATAAAGCCGTGAAGAAAAAAGCCATATCAGTGAAGTGTACGATATCGAAAAATCACAGTGAACTGGAAATAAATTTTGTTATTTTATCGACCCTAAATGCGTAATATACAAATAATATTATTACATGTTTAGGAGCCTGACATCTTTTTTATTCTTTAGTTTTTCGTGATATCAGATGTATACTCTGAATAAAAACGATATCAAGCTCTTGATAATGTCTATGCATTAGCTGATAATCATTCCTTGATCAAATTCCCAGTTGATATTCTACTGTCTGCAAGAACCAGCTGAAGGATGTGGAGGATTCACTGTCATCTGTGACAGCAAAGAGTTTGTCAACCGACTGGATCCCAAGTTGATCAAAAAGCTTGATGAAAAGCAAATAAGATATTACCATAGCCTACCTGATGAATCCAAATCTACATATGTATCCTGGCAACAGGCATTTAAGACCAAGGATATCGAGGTACAAACCCAGGATGTTCATTTTCTAATTTTTTAGTGACCATACCTGTGGTCTGAAATGGGAAAACATTAAGCCAAATAAAAGTTGTGTAAAGGCCAATGTAAAATGAATAACAAAGCATTCCTCATTAGCTTTCTTGTTAGATCAACCAACATGGCAGCTGTTTCCAGTGGCTGATTCAGGAATTGTAGAAAGGAGGTGACTATTACAAAGCTTTTACGCAGAATGTGAGCAAATGGGGGGTTGCTACCCACCAGCCCCTTCACCACCCCTGTATCTGCCCCTGTGCTTTGTTGTTATTTATATCCCAAAGGATTTTGAGTCACATGATTGCTTCCGAAGAATACTGTTATAAAAGCACACAACTTTCTTTCAATTTTAGGAAGTAAAGGCCTACCTGGAAAAAGGAGGTTATGGATATTCTTTTGATGAGAAAAAAGGAATTGTAACCTTCTGGAATACACTGCCAGCTTTCATGCCTCATCCAGACACTGGTGAAAAGATATGGTTCAATTCAGTTCACATAACACACCACACTGGCCTAAAAGAATCCCCAATGTACCCTGGAGAAGACAAGCTTGACACTGTGTACTCGTGGGACTCCACTTATGGAGATGGTTCTCCAATCAAGCTTGATGTTATCCAGCATATCAGAGCATGTATGTGGCACAGCACCTATGGATTTCAGTGGAAGACAGGTGACATGCTTGTGGTTGATAACATGAGTGCTCTACATGGAAGACTCAGTTTTACTGGAAAAAGAAAGATTCTTGCTTTCTTGATGGCTGAGTAGAACTTGCAATGATCTCTTCAATTATACCATTAATACTAGTCAGATTGATACATATCATATAAACCAGAATTACTGAAAAAAGAATGTATATATATATATATATATATATATATATATATATATATATATAATGTTATGATACAATTAGTCTTAGCGCAGGCCCACTTCAGCCTTTGAATGCCTGAACCCTTAATCTGCTTCGTTAAATAAAATAAATTTGAAGACAGATTATTAAGTCTCTTTATAGATAAAGCGAATAGCAGTTTCATGCATAGAGCTTATATTTCTAGCTTCAAGATTATGAACGCCTGACTTATAATTACTGCCAATGTTCATAAAATACTTGAAAATTTGATTAAAGACTTTAAAAAAAGATAAAATATACTTACATTCTGTGTTCTGTTTTGAATACATATGACTGACTGCGTTACCCTTCTTACGGGAAAGATTAAAAGCAGACTTTGCCAGCAAGGGTATGACTGCGTCTTGATATAAATGTTTGGCTATTGGAGCCTCGTATGATTGGGATCCCTGTGTATCGTGATGCGTCCTGGGTAAATTTAATGGCGGTCAAAGTGGGTCATGATTCGGAGAGTTTTTAGTTCTTTCTCAGTTTTAAGACCAGAAGGCTCGGTATTATTCAGTAATAATCATTTCGATAAAGGAGAAAGGCTCTTTCATACCACAAGATATCTTAAAAAATCAGAGGTAAGGCGATAGACCCTTAAAATGATCTTTTTCATGGTGCTATAAAATTCGGTTAATTTATAGTAACCTAAGTTTAAAAATAAATAAAAAAAACTTTAGAAAATTCTTTTCCAACTTTTTGGTCTTTAGGATACTGGAGGATATTATAAATTTACAGGACCAGTTCCTCAAGGTATGTTTTGTTGCTACATTTATAAGGATTAACAACAGGATGACCCCCCCTCCCCCTAAAATTAAAATTGTGCAATGTTGTAAAAGAGGTTGTTTGTTTGACCTTAGTCTAGATCTTAGAGTTAAATATTTTCTCTTATATCCTAGATCGTCTAGATATTAAATTTGCTCGTAGCTCAGGCCCTGGGGGACAAAATGTTAACAAAGGTGAGCTAAACTGTGATTTTGGGCTGCCTGTGCTAACAGGCATCCCAACAAAAAGATTTCTTGATTTTCAAAAATATTACATAAGATTACAACTCAACATTTCTGAAGRTAACACTTGTCAAAAACGTTCAAAGCTTTTAACAAAATTTTACTTTTGCCTATATATAATTTGAAAAAATTGTTAACTGTAAATTATTATGACATTTCTTGTTTTACATAAGATATACAAGCTTAGAAAGGTTTTTTCTTTCCATTTTTAGTCMACACAAAGGTTGAAATTCGTTTCCATGTTGAAACTGCAGAATGGATCCCAGCAGATGTAAGAACAAAGCTTCTACAAAGGGTAGGTAGACTAGGTGATATCTTTAGTGATACTGTATGTAGTACAGTATATTATTATTGAAAAAAAAACAGAAAATGTGTGTGTACTTTGTGCAGGTAAGAAGCACATGGAAATAATCAAAACACAAGATAAGTGTTATGAAATGTTTTGCTAATGAAGTTCTTTCTTCTCAATACTTCTTAAGTCTTTACCAATCCCAAGTGCTTTGTGTAACTGCACACAGTACAGCACAGCGAGCAAGCTTTTTATTAACAACTCTCAAAACTCCAATTTATGTAGGCTTAGCCTCATTTCCTGAGGCTGCATGGTTAAACAAAAGCAGAAATTAGAATAATAAAACAAGCAATTCCTGGATTCAAGGCTAAGCCAGCATACAGTGTATGCTGGAGTTTTAAGAGTCATCAATTATTTCTTCTATAAAATACAAACTAGAGAAGTCATAATTTTGGACAAGGATTATGAAATAGAAAGTTTTCTTTTCAGGAGAGAAACAGAATCAATAAAAATGGAGAGTTAGTCCTAACTTCAACAAAGTTTCGTTCTCAACAAAAGAATATTGAAGATGGAGTGTCAAAAATCTATACTTTGATCAAAGAGGCTTCTTTCGTACCCAAGGCAACCTCAACTGAACAAAAGCAACATGTTCAGAGATTGTAAGTACATAAAAAAATGAAATTAACTGACTGCACGGGCAGATCCAGAAAATTGGCAACCTTTAGATCCGAGGACGAGTACAAGATCAATACCTACAAGTAAGAGTTTTAATAGACCATTTCACAGATCCCGTTACTCAAYCTCAGCCTTGTCAGCRTGTAATTATTCTTTAGAATTTGACTACAGTCYGCAGTAATGGAAGGAATTTACACATCAACGAACAATTGAAACACTTAAAAATTTCACAGGTTGTAGGCAATTTCTAAAGAATATATTACACGCTGAAGAGGCTGAGGTTGAGCTGCGGGATCTGTGAAATGGTCTATTGGTCCTGTACACATGGTTAACACTGAATTRTAGTTGATTTTCAATTTTTTTTTAATTCAAAGTTTCAATCTACATACATGTACACTACCACCACTATGAAATGATAGTGCCAATAACCTTTAAAAGTTAAAAACTCTTMCTCATACTCGTTGTCTGATCTAAAGGCCTCTAATCAAGGGGGATGTCCAAAATAAAAAAAAGTGGTGATATAGCGATGTCATCAATAATCCTGATCTGAATTATTTAATTCATTCTTAGATTCATTTTTATATTTAATCTTATGCAAATTAATCTTGAATCAGACTAAAGATTCAAGAAACAAATCATTAATGAAAAGAAGTCTATAAACCAAAAATAACAACAGGTGGCTTGGGAGGTGTTTGGTGCACCTAGGGATACCYGCTTAAATTTTCTCTGGATCCACCCCTGGACTAATCTTGTAGGGAGGGTGCACAGGGAATGGAAATGGAACTATTGCACTATTGCAGAACCAAAAAGAAATATTGCAAAATCAAAAAAAAGAAAAAAATTGCAGAACTTAAAAAAAAAAGGAGCAATAATGGGTGAGTGATATGCAATTTTAAAGCACATGGAGATAGGTGAGCAGACCTTAAGCTTTAATGGGGGGTTGCACATGCACCCTGTGCTCCCCCTGATTATGGCCCTGAACTGTCTGGCTGACTGAGCATCTTGCTAACTGAGCAACTGACTAACTGATTCATTGAGTAACTGATTGTCAACAGTTATGAGTGAGACAGTGAGTGAGTGAGTGACAGATGGAATGACTGACTGAACAACTGAGCAACTGATTGACTGARTCAATGAATAAGGGATAGAATGACTGATTTCATAAAAATTAGATGACAGTAACATTTTCCCTTTTTTCTATTTCATTCATAGAGCAAGAAGATTCAATGAGAGACGGTTGGCAGAAAAGAAGTTCTCTTCAATGAAAAAGCRAGACAGAAGGGGAGATGATTAAGAAAAACAGAATCATTAGACTACCAAATTGTGGTCCACATATTCCATCAATAAAGCACAGAAACGATCTTCCATAGATAAATAATAATATTGTAAATAAACATGCTTTTGCACAAAATTCCAGTTTTAAAAGAAGCTGGAACAAGAATACATGCATCTATATTAAATTAAAAGGTTCTTACAAAAAAGTTGTATAATGTATAATGTTGTATTCTTTAAAAAAAGCCTAAGATTGTGTTTGACAAACTTCCTAGGACCATATGCATTTCCAGCTGATCTGAAACACAGTATAAATGCCATCACTGCAAAACTGAGGTGTTGTGAAGCCTAGAAAAATTACTGAGCAGCGGAAACTTAAACAAATGCCCGTCATTACATTAGAATATATAACCCATATAATCCACAATTTCAAAAGGAAAAATGATTTTGCAAATTTTCACGATTCTCCAAATATCATAACATAGCAGGCTGACACAAGCCATGTTGTGTGATTTTGCTGCAATGTGTGTCACCCCGATTCAAATTTGTTGCTTGCAATGTTGCATTCAATGTTRCACCGTGTGTTGATTCACTGGTTGGGCTACCTTTGCCAAGTACATRAAAGAACTGCGCATGCTCACTTCAAAAAGTCAAAATGGCAGATGAAGAGGRCGAAGATCCAGTAGTTGCTGAGGTAAGTTATCAGCCGTTTTGAAAACCTTCCTCCTTCTAAACCTTCTTAAAGTCATTAATAACTATAAGTTCCTTCACATTTCTAGGTGGACGTCTTCTTAGCCAAGTCTTTAGCTGAAAATTTGTATATTTTTCAAGTAAGTTTATTTTTGTCAAATACCCCGTGTCTTGGTAAATAGGACAAGACTATATATTTTAATGCCCAATTCTATCTCTTTTGGAAAAAATAAACATAAATGCCAAAATTCTTATGACATAAGGAATTGCTTTCTTCTTCCGAAAAACTTTTCTTAGCTCTCAATTATGAATACTCTCTACTACACGCGGGTCGAACCACGAACGTTGTTCGAAAATTTCTTAAAACTTAGAATGCTTTAAGATAAGTAAAGCATAGCAATAAATATATTGTAAAATTAGTGGAGCGTTCATAGAATTACTGTAGATACTCATTGATATATATTTTTGAATTGACAGTATCCTGTAAGACCTGCAGAACTTTCGTATGATAATGTTCCTCATGTTGGAGCACGGATCAAACCAAGACAACAAAAGGTAGGCTACAGGATACTGAAGGAATGTAGCTAATGCTGTAAGGCTCAAGAGAGAAAAATCGATAGCAGGGCTTAAGACTGGTCAGTTGTCTGTCATGATGACTGGTTAGTTAGACAAATTAGTTTTAAATTAGTTTTAAGGGCATTTGATATTTTTCTCTTATTCTCTCTATCAAATTAGTTTCAGTTCAGTCACAACATCTTATTGATATTCATTATTTCTTCCAATTAAAGGTAGAAATAGAACTTGCAATTAATACAGCAAGCAGAAATTACTATCAACCAAGAGGAGAACAGATTGCAATAGACGTTAATGGAAGGGTCCCAGCTGATAGTGAAAGATACTATGAAAGGTATAAAAACAGACTCCAAAACCATCACTTCATCCCCTGTAAAGAAATCATGTATTCAGATGTATTGAATGCTCTGCTGATCAGGGCTTGAAATAGTGACTGGCCAATGACTAAATGACAGGCCAAATTTCAGGTTTGGCAGGTGAAAATAATGTTGCACTGCCGAATGAATAATAAAATACAGTAGCATGCAAAATTTTCCAGACTGACCTCCTTTTACAATGCTCCTTTATCTATGTACTATGGCAGGCTACATTATTTTTTTCCAATTTCAAGGCCTGAAAATTTATGCCATGTGCAAAGCTTGGAGGAAGATATGATATTTTGAGGACCATTTCTTCTCATCCAAGAACACTGCAGTTGATATCCCAGTGAGCCAGATTGGAGGGGGGGGGGGGGGAATTATTTAATTCTATTTGTTTCATTCTATATTTTTATTCCTTTTTAATGTAATTTTTTTCACTGTACATCAGTTGTGAAGAAGATTATCGTCTTGATATTTCTTCCTGTGAAAATGTAACAGATGAGGTTTTTGGACCAATAACAGTGTGCAAAAATTTATCATTGCCAGGTTATAATTTCTGATAGACMRATATTATGCATRACTAATAAAAATCCTCTTTCTTGGTCTTTAGTGAAAGAATGGACAAGCAAGTACTAGTGTCATCAAGAGCATCTGCTGAGGCAACTAGATATGCTGCAGGAGTACTCAGAGAAGGTTGGTTGTGATTSAAATAGAGGTTTTGCACCATCTTGTGCCCATCCCATAATAATGCTTGGGCTGTGAGTGATAGTTATGTCAGGGTTCGTGCTACTCCTTGAAATCCTTAAAAAGCTCTGGAATTCAAAATCCATTTTTAAGTGCACGTGAAAAGCCCTTGAAAATAGCAATGTTGCTGGATACTACTGGAATACTCCTCGAAAATGCAATGGTTACTTATTTATTATGATTATCTACTGTAACCTAATTTTTGTTGAAAATTCATTTATTACTTATGTGAATAAGATTGTTAACTTAAATGCTATTTTCCATCATTGAAAATAATGTATTGTTAAGAAGAAATTCACAAACAAAATTGACCCTTGATAATCGTAATTTTGGACCTTGAAAAGTCCTTAAAGTCCTTGAATTTTGTGTCGGAGATGTAGCACGAACCCTGTTATGTCCAGCCATTGAGCAGCCATTAGTTTTAGCCCTGCACAGTGTAACTTTATGTAGGGTACCAGTGTGATTTATGGAATTGTTTCAGGTGAATTACACATCACACCTTTGCAAGGGGTACTACAACTKAGACCTAACTTTGAATACATGAACAAAGCTGAGACAAATGTAACACAAGCAGCCTCAACTCAGGATGAAGGTTTGTTAGTTGTTACGGATAATTGTTTTTGTGAGAACCATCCCTCCTTTAACCCCACTTTCATGGAAAGTTCCATGGAAGGCCAATTGACAGTTGTTGGCAAGAAAGTGAAAAAAACTTGAAAGTTTATCTATGCTCTGAAATAACCTCTGGGCTGATCATTAAGCGATTGATATTAAATATACTGTATTCCTTTACCATTTCATCAACAGATTCCCAGGATGAAGAAGAGGAGCCAGCCAAGGCTTTAACAGTAAGCAGATGAGCATAAGTATTGCATGAAGAAATTGTAATCTTACTTATGAAAAGCKCATGCGATCATTTTAACATGTAGCACGCTCTATATAAGCTATTAAATCATCATTATTATTAAGCACCATTTGGTTTTCACTTTTTTGCAAAACATTTATTTTTCTAGTATAAAAAATATATTGATATTATTTTATACATGTTATAGTATGAAAAACATATTGATAGTATTTTTATTTTACAGTTAAGATTTGCCAGACCAGAGTCAGACAAAGCTAAAGCACAGCGTTTATCTTCATATAAATACCTAGAACAGAAAGAAGCCGAAGAGGAATGGAAAAATCTACAGTATTATCAGCCACAAGTAAGACTTTTTTTTTCTATATTTGTTTATTTCTTTCCAGATCATATGTCGTTCCCTCCCATGAGCTCGTATGAAGTTGCTTCCCTTACTTACTGTCCCATCGTGTAGTTCCAGAAATTATCCATACCCACCCCACAGAGGAATTTGGAATTTCTGAAGGGTGGGGGGTCAGAGAAAGAACAAAAATTACAGAGTTTGTAAGGAAGAAAATTGGAATTTCTGGGGTAGGGGGGTGTCTTAAAAAAATATTCCTCCATGGGGGGGGGGTATGGATAATTTTTGGAACTACACATTATATTTTAATTCTTGATTTCAAAAACTCGTTAAAAAATTTTTCATCAAAAATCTGAAAATCAACATTTTCATAACTTTCATCTTAGCATTCAATGGCAAGTTTGGACAGAGAAAAACTTTTCTGTGCTGATTGTAATGTTGAGGCTCCAGAAATAACTCTTTCTTCTAAGTAAGTGGAATCCTTCATGATGTGTGTTTTTTTTTTAAATTTTAGTATGAAAAGCTTTGTTATTCATTAGTGCTTTTATTTTTTCTAGAGAATATTTAAAATCTTTGATGCCTTCATCAACAAAACAAGAAAGGTTGGTGCTTTTGTTTAATTTTTTTTTAGCTTTTTTTACATTACATTTTACAAATTGTACTGCACRAATAATCACATGTAATAGCAGAACATGTATATACATGTACACACAGAATGTCTGTACCAGTATTTGTGATAAGCTAGATTGCATGTCATCTTAGAGACCGGTTTGAATTGAAAATTCCTTCAATTATTATTGTCAGTTTAACTAACTACAATGGATTGTTAGTTGGTGCTTTTAAGACTTTCATGTGGTGAAGACATACTTAACACTTATTGACTGGGACTAAGGGAAACCATGTGTTTTATGGTCCAGAGATGGTGAGGGACCATGAAACAAACTGCTTTCCTGAGGTTCCTGTCAATATTTTTTTGAGTGTTATATACCAAGTGTCAAAGACCACAAAGCAATATTATTTTGTGCTTTGATTTTTCAATTATTCATTTTTGGAAAACTTAGAAAACTTACATTTTTTGGGAAATCACTTCCAGTATTGTTATTACCAGTCAACAACATGTTGTTGCCTGCTCAGAGCCGTTGCTTGGGAAACAAAGAAATTTGTTCACATTCATACCCTTTCTCTCAATCAGAGTACAAAAAATGGACTTTGTAATATTTAAGCTTTCTTTAATGCATTGTTTCTTCAATACTATCAGTACATTACCATCCAAGATGCCAAGGAATGTTCTTTCCATGACCCAGCTTAGAACCATGGATTTACCAGACCAGGTCAAAGCTCTTCTAAGAAATGGTGAGCAAGCATATAATTGATATGTGATCAATGTCATTTTCAAAACCTTTTTCAAAATACTTTTTTACCCTTATGAAGTACTTTCAATTTCAAGATATGAAGCATCTCAAAATTTGTTTGCCGTCCAGCAGGGCCTAAGTTCCCAAGGGAACTTTGGCTGAATTGATTCGTTAGCAAAGTGAAATATATGCATGTGGCTGTTTGTTACAAATGGCTTATTAAAGCCATGCAAGTTCCCAGTTCAAATATAGTTTTGCTTATTTTTTACAGCAAAAGTCATGAGTTTCTCTCAGCTGTGTACATTATTATCTCCTGTTGGCAAGGAAGCTGCTGTGTTAAAATGTGTACAGCAGTTCGGGGTCCTTGTTCAGGGCTGCTGGCTAGTAAAAAGGTGAGATAAATCACTTTGTAGATTAATGTGATTAAGAGGGACTGAGGGCAAGCCAGGGAGGTTTTGCTCTTCACAACCTCTATTCCCAACCCACCCTCCATCCTATATCACACAGGGATCCCAAGCACCTTAAGAAGTAAAGGAATAGTGATGCCTCTTAAAAATCTATACTGCTGTAGCAGGATTGTTCAAAGGGGTGGTTTAGAATTTTGAGTTCAAGAGATGGTTTACCTCGGAGACAATAATGGTAATGGATTTGCTAGATGAAAACATTTCTTAACAGGGAGGGGATATAGATAGATAGCAATTGAACATTCTACAGATCTGGCTCAAATACTAATTGAAACACCTATCTTGAGAAGAAAATTTCTTGATGTCATAAATAAATCTTTGATTTCAGTGAGATTTTATATCCAGAGAAAAGTGTTAGTCCTAATAGTGGTATTCCTTCAGAAATACTATGTAGAGGCAGAGATTACATTGTAAGTACTGTTTTGAACTAGACTGTGCTTTGTGAAGGTACATTTTTCATTGGAGGGGGAGGGGGGGTGGGGCTTCAGAAGGGAGGGTCATCAGTAAAGATACTACCTTTTTTGGAAGGTCAAACCTTTTTAATTTTTAAATGAAAATTAAAATGAAAGCTTTTCGTTGTTGACCTAATAGGAGGTTCATGAATGTCTTACTGGATGAAATGGGGAAAGAAACAACCATTTCTAAAAAGATAACTACAAATCCCCCACCCCTCCCTCCAATGAAAAACTTACCTTCTCTTATTCTCCTGGCAATTCCTTTTGCTTTCAATAATTTGCTAAGAGTGACATGTAAGGGTTTTTACTGAAAAATGTGTGGCCCTCCAACTCTGGGGTCTCAGGTTCAATTTACTGGACTTGGCATCACTTCTAGGCCATTGCTAGGACCTTGAAAGGGGAGATTCGTTTTTCTACCAATCCTAGTCATGCCATTTCTTGATAAACATTTTTAATGCATTATTGGAACTTGTTGCATTTTTTTGTATAGAGGAGGGGGGAGGGGGGTCATTCAAACCATCTAACCACCACTAGCGGCAGGCCTGACTTCTTTGTTTGCTTCTTTGTTTTAGATGTGGAGATTTACACACAGTCGAGTTGTGGTTAGAAAAGATATAGCAACAGTTACAAAAGTAAGTCAAATATTATTTTTAAAATCTGTYTTACCACATTTGTCTTGAAATATATGTAATACACAGGGCTTAAAATAACAGCTACTTGGATGTCTGACACGGTGACCTGCCAAAAAAGATTTTTAGCTGGATATGCAGGCTTCCAGGCCAGACAAAAAAACCTAACATAAAAAAATAAAACAATTATTAATTTTATTGATTTCAATCATAGATTTAATGCAAATTAATTTTGTTTTAAAGACAGAAATGCATGTTAAAATGGGTTGTAGATCAGTATATACATTTAACAAACAAAATATCCATACAAAAACTACAYGCAAATATGAACCATAGACACTGTCCAATTTTATTCTGCTGAGCATAAAGAACATGATCAGCTTTGCAAGATCTCACAAAGGGGGATGCAATGGAACCACCCCTGGATTTGCTATTGTGTTATTTTTTTTCCTTATTCGTTATTCACAATTTGGTAATGGACCAAATGGACCAAAGACCAGTTATACCATAGCATACCATGTTATAAATCAATCGTAATGATGAAACGAAAGCAATATTTGTGTTCTTTGCTGATGATCACTTTTGTTCCAGCTTCCTAATGATGACATAAAAGAAATCTTAGAACAAGTAAGTCGCCATACCCACATTATTTGCTATTCCCATTTTTTGTTCATCCATTCATTTCCATTCATCCAGCTATCCATTCTCCTACTCATCTATCCATCCACCATCAATTATTCATTCATCCCTCAGTCCATATCCATCCATCCATCCATCCATTTATTCATCCATCCATTCTTCCATCCATCCATCCATCTTTTTATTCATTTATTCATTTTTTTATTTATGTCTGTTGAATTTGTAATAACCATCCATTGTTTCTCACCCATCCATCCATTCCTTCTCATCCATCCATCTATCCATCCATCCATCCATTTATTCATCCATCCATTCTTCCATCCATCCATCCATCCATCTTTTTATTCATTTATTCATTTTTTTATTTATGTCTGTTGAATTTGTAATAATCATTTAAAGTTTTTTCTTGGTCTTTCATGTTGCTGATACACGTGCTTAGTTACAGTGAGAACATTCGAGCCGTAAACTCTTGAGTTATTTGTCACTCAATAAAAATGAATACTGTAAATCAGCCCTTGTGAATCAATTGGGAACAAGACTTATCACTCGGTGTATTTGAACTTAATGTTTAATTTTAGAGGGTTTGAAACAGTACCAAGCTCTTTAAATAAAAACTTGAAAAAACTTGAAGTGTTCAGGCTTCGAGTGACCTCACTGTAATCGAAGGCACAAAATCAAATAACTCTTACTTCACTTTCTTTCCTCAGATGGCACGAATGAGAGTAGCACAAGGATGGGAGTTTATTCTCCCTTGTGATACAGAATTTATACATAAGTAATACTTTTAATACATCCTTATTTTCCTGCATCCTTGGAAACCCAGAGGTCAAATTCTGTTGCTCGTTTTTACCAGAAAAAGATATTCTAATGGGCCGTTTACATGATACAGGAATGAGTTCGTTCCGGGACGAGAATGAAATGTCATACCGCGTTTGCATGAGAAAAACTCACAGAAGGAGTTCAATCTTGAAATGTCTGATACACATGCGTCACTCGTTTAAGTCTCCCCAGAGAGCGGCTTCATTCCCGACGAACGAGCGTTTTGAAACGGGATGAAAATTGGGGTGAACTCATTCCAGAATGAAAATTTGCTCTGGTATAATGTAAATAAATACAAAAACAAAATGGCAACCGGGATGAACCTATTCCGGAACAAAACTCATTCCTGTATCATATGACCCCTAAGTGTTTTTCTTTCTTTCTGGAAGCAAGAAAGAAGTGAACGAATTTTACCCCTTGGTTCCCGAGGTTGTATTTTCCTGAAGTCGTTGTTTCATACTTTTTTGCTCTATTTGTTGTTTGGTTTATTAATCAGTTTGATTGACTTTATCTTTAGGCACCCAGACGTTGTAAAACAGCAAAATATTTTTTGGGAAAACAAAAAAGAGCTGTAAGTAAGAATTGTGCTTTAGTGCTCAAACAGATTTATGTAGTGTTGCTGGTGCAATGATGAGGTCGGTGACGTTCATAGTAAATTTATACCATGGGATAGACAACATCCATTGAACCAAACACTTTGCATGAGATTGCTGTTTATCCAATCAAATTGCTTGTACACGGAACCATCTCGTTCACAGAAATGCGCGTGTGTTTTTCACAGTCCTAGACCGGGGAGGGGCTATAGACTCCAGACCTCCCTCTCCATGTTCTCTGGTAGTAGAAGTAAGCAACAACTCCCCGCCTTATTAAAGTGAAAATTATGGTTTTGAGTTTTGTGATGGTATAAATGATGTTGATAAAGATTATGACGAACATGTGATGGTAATGACTGTGATGACGTTTTTGAGGACATTGGCGATGTGTGGTGATGATTATGGTAGTAAAGATAATGATTATCGTTATTTTTTTTAAGGCTGGCTTCTCAGCTCAACCTAAATAAAATACATGAAAAGGATCATAAAAAATCTACAGGTTCAGGTAATCCTCCCTAAAGCAAATAGCAAACCCCTGTCTAAGGGTCCGTAACATCCGATTACCCTTACTATAATGCAACTTAGGATCTTTTTAAAGGCTCGGACAGGGGATTCAGTGCTATACGTATCGTCTAGGTCCAAAATTACTTCTGGAGTTCCACGGGGCTCTATATTGGGACCAATTATCTTTGTTATACAATATTTATGAGTGGTTTGACTGAAGTTGTTAGAACTTTTAAAACAGCATCTTTATCGAATAGACAAAATAGTTATAGATTTCATATATTTTTTTCTTTTTTCTTTTTGTGATTGTTCTTTCTATTTTTGAATTTTTTGTTTTGTTATCTATCCCCAAGATTCTTCTCATGGACCTGAAATCAAGAAAACTTCTAAAAATCCCAAAACCACAGCCAATCACGTTGTCAAAGAGGAAACAACCTCAGATATGAATGGAAATGCTACTGAAATAACCAGAAGTGTTTCTCCAATGGAGGTTGATTGTAAAGAGGTAAATTTAGACGAGCAGATGGATGGATTGTCAACCAGTGCGCCGCTGTCAGAAGACAGCGAATTCTTCGAGGAAGCCTTTAAGAAATTACAGGATTTCGTTTGTGAAAAACTTCATACAACGGTGCTGAGTTTTAAAGAATTTAAAAGGCTTTTGTTACTAAGACAGACAGGTAAGACGTAATTGGGTTGGGTTGGGTTGGGTTGGGGTAAGATTGGTTGGGGTGGAATGGGGGGGGAGGGGGATGGTGCATATTAACACACCATTCATGAGGCCCCTTAACATACTTTCAGTTCGACCGTGTTGAGCTTTGCCACTGCTGTGCTTTGCGGTGGTGATTAGCGATAACAATTTCATTCTAACAAATTCTTGAATCTCCCCCCTTTAAAAGCAGCATCATCATCATCTTCATAACTCATCGCGCCAGGAGTTGCCGAGGCGTTCACAATATTAGTCCAACCCGATCTGCACAGCGCCTCCATTTTAGCCACTCCTAGAAGCACTTGCATTTAAACGCTCAAGCAGAACGGTTTTACCTAACAGCTCCAAACCCAAAATACCGTCCAATGGACCTTTATCAAAAATAACTTGGATGCCAGGCTAATATGAATATACAAAAGATATCACACTTTTTCTCGATGGAATTTGTGACTTTTGTATTTCCATGTTAATCTGACTGTTAGCCTGGAATTCAAGACAATTTTTCGAAAGGTCCATTGGCACGAGGATGAGTAGTGTATTTTACAGTTGTTCTTTTGATTTTTCCAACAGCTTGTGAGCCAGGCGATGTGTTGTGTTCAGGAGTATCAGATGCGCTTCTCGAAGATGTTATATCTTCGACAGGCGCACAAGAAATTCAAATAAAGGTACTGGAATTTTCATAGATTTCTAACTCACTGAAGTCCATATAAGTGTAAGTCAAAACACAGATAGTGAAAGGGATGATTAATTTTTCGCAAAAAGGGAAATCGCTATGGAATTTGTTTAAAAAATAGACTGCTGTAGACATCGTTTTCACGGGCCTTCACAGCTCGGTACCAATCCATTGTAATAAAGCAAGATTAATTTTTTTACACGCACTGAGTATGGTGCTCTTGATCTTTCAGTGGCCTACGTCTTCTCTAAATAAAGACATTCAATCAAGAAGATTCTTTGCTTTCAGGAAAGTAGGCGATAATTCTATGGATAAGGTATGATACTCTAGAGAATGACACGTGGTCTGAAATAGCAAAACATTACTTCCAAGCTAATGAAGGATCTATTGGAGCAATGATCTTTTAAATTTCAGGAACAAAATGTTGTTCTGTTTTGAAGGGGGCCCAAATTGCAGTGTAAAGTTAATGTCAGTACTGATGTATCCTTTATTGACGTCTTTTGCAGTTCAGAGAGATTTTGCTCGATATGTTTGCATCTCATCATAGCATTAAAAAAGCAGATTTCCAAGCCAGAACTTAAGAAATAACAAAGACAGAACCAACTAAAAAGGTGTGGGCTACGTTACAACAGGTAAGGATATGAATCGTGTATTAAATATCAAAAGTCTGTTTTTCCCGCGCTTTTTTTCAACCCCCCCCCACTCCATTTTACTGATAAAAATTTTTCCGATCCCCCTAAATTTCACCTGCCCCCTTCTCTGCCATACATTATGAACGCAGCCTTAAATGCCTTCACTCTACTAGACTGAAGTCACTGGCTATTTTCTATTCTTTCGATTCTACTGAAATTCTGAAATTATCTTTACAGGATCTGCTCGAGAAAGGAAAGCATCCCACATATTATCTTCGAGGTACTTCAGCGGTGTTGTCATGACAATRGACTTTGAATGACAGGTACCGTCATTTATGATCTCCAAGATTTCTTGGATGTTAAGCGCCRCGAAAAGCAGATTCAGATCGGCATAAACACCAAGGAACGATTGCGTGTTCGTCGTGCAGTCGAGGTTAGGGTTGAAAAGGAAAGAAAGACTGGAACATTGAAATAGAGGCTGCTTCCTTCTTTACTTCATTTTCCTTTCCTTTTCTCTTTTTCTCAATCTCTCTCTTTCTTTCTCCCTTCCTTCCATCC